GAGAGTGAGTTGGCTGTATTTCTTCAAGAAGAGTGGGAGAACATCCCAACTAGTATATATCAAAACCTTATTTTAAGCATGGATAACAGAGTAAAAGCAATTATAAAGGCTAAAGGCTATGCAACTAAGTATTGATGAATATTATAATTGCTTTTTACATTCAATTATGTGTTGAATCAAAAAATTTTTATATTGTATTAAAATTCAATAACTCAGTAATTAAGTAAGCTATTCGCAAAAACTTTTTTGTATTTTGTAGCGCTGTTTACGCTCTTTATAATGAATGTAAAATTATAAGATATTAATAAGTAAATTGTTTTTTGGGAAAATTCTAAACGTTGATATCGCAAAATTCTATTTACTAATTTTTGGTAGCATGCAAATGTGCTCTAAGTAAGTTTAACATTCTACTATTTAACCTACAATAAAATTTTGCAGACATGTTATCTATAATGTGCGCTAACAATGGTATAAATTCCATGACTATAGGACGCATGGTTGTGGATTTCTTCATAATTGATTAAAAATCAAAGGGGTGGTCCGTGCTTTTGAGACGGCACTGTATTATTAGGAACTTTCTAGACATTTTCACAATGTAATTATTGTTCCCCTGCATGCAGAATGTGACCAATGATAATCAATGCGCAGAAATTCGCGTTTGTCTAATGAACAAACGAATATTTATTATAAAAACAACACCGGTTAACTTACTTCAAAAATTAACCACAACGCAATAAATATCGTTGAAGCAATACATTGTTAAAACAAATCTGTCAACTTTCGCTAATAACATGCTTACATTCACAAGCGAATTCTTTTCGGAGTATTTATTCTCGGCCTGTTGATAAATGGCATGGTTTTTAATAGCCAGCTCCATATTAATTACGAATATGAAGTCCAGAAAATCATTAATAATGGAACCATCGGCGAACAAAATTTATTCACCAGATATCGAAACGGTGTGGAACGATCTGAGACAATTATACGATAAAAGAACCGAATTGGACCCTAAATTTTCATTTAACAAAATGGCATTCGAAATTCATAAATTACTTGAAGAAAAAGCTGTCGCAGCTTCCACCATACGAAACTTTTATCTTCGAAGAACAACCCGCGGAAAAAGACTATTGAAGCAATCCAACGTTGGATCGACGAAGAGAAGAAGAAAGATGTAATTCACTTAGATGAGGAAAATAAAAATGAAGAAATAGATAATAGTGATAGTAAAGAAGAATGAAATTAATTTGCACTAGAGTGACCAAAGAATAGGTTATACTCATAAATGGCTTTGAGCCCGAGTATTTTCCTCCCCTGCAATCACTCTGGAGACATTATCATTTGCGGACAATTTAATACTGGAGTTACAAGTCCCCCCCCCCCCTGCAAACTGATAGTTGAAACCACGCCTCCAATCGACTTGACGCCCTTCCTTACCCCCGGGACTAAAAACCAACTCTTTCAATTCAAACTTTCAAGGGCAAAAATCTCGATGTCATATGTGGTAGACTGGTTGGCAGGGTACCCATCACAGTCATCTCAGTCATCTCAGTCATCCCATAGAGACTTCAATTTTCTGAATAAAAAAAGTTTTTTTGTTCTTTGACGGTTAAACGCTGTACTTTTATTATTTTTTCTTTTTAGCGATAGGTCGGTGAATATATTTCAAACTGTTGTAATTTATGTAATAGTGTGATTTTTTGATCCATCATTATAATTGCAACCGTGACTAATAATGACTATCGAGTTAACAGAATATTGTTCGGATAATAAATCACAATGCTTTGCAAATTCGAAGGCTTATTGAAATGACTCAGAAATGACGGCAAAGTAATATGTTTCTCTAACAATTATACGTGGAGAAACAACAAAAATTTACTTGGATTATCTGTAGTAGTTACTCTTCAGCGACGTGTTGTTAGTATTGGCTTAAACCCGATTTTTAATATTGCCAAGGATGTAAATATTATCACAAAATCACTATGTTCAATTGAAGTGTCGATAAAGAGACTATGATCATTTTTGACACTATCACATGCTAAACTTTAATCAAATGTGTGTAACTGACTGGGTACACACTATGCACAACAAAGGAACCAAATTATCGAACCTTAAGATGACTGAAAAATAAAATTTTAAGTGACACTGCACAGTACAGCTTAACGATTGATGAATTAGTTTTACCGGCAGTAGCAGAGATCGATATGGTGTCAGCCGTAAGAAAAACAAAGAATAACAACTAAGATGTTATATTGGTAAAATAATTACGAATCGCTGGGCCATTTATCATAAAGAAATTCTCTATATACAGCATTTATGCTTTGTCACATGTACAGTTGAACACTATGACAAAAAAAGAACGTTCAGTGCTATGACAACTCCATAATGTACGAAGAAATTAGCTAACTTACTATGCAGATTATCTTATTGTCTGGTTTGATATTCTAACAAAAAAAAACTCTTATGACTATTAATTATTTGCTGTTTTCAAAAATTCTAGTCATGAATTTGGTCATGACTTTTTTTTTTGCGAAAGTTGACGAAAACTTGCGAAAACAAGCACTAACTTTTTACTTGTGTTTGAGAACGATTACTAAGCGTATTCTGGGACAAGAAACAACTTTATTTAGTGTAAGGTAGTTGCTACAATGCCTGAGAAACGAAAGTGGAAACGACCGAATACAGAGCGATTATAGAGCGAGTATAAACGATTATGAGCAATTATAGAGCGAGTATAAACGATTATGAGCGATTAGACAAATACACATATTATTACGACTAACTAAGTAACCTACACTACTTTCAGTGAACAGACGCCAAAGAATCTTGGTGAAGACTTATGTTCGCGAATAGTATATCTTCACCATGACGGTTACTCGAATAAGAAGATAAGAGAGCTTTAAGCGTTTCTCGCTCTAGTGTTGGCAGAGTCTTGAGGCTTTATAAAGTCTGGGGATGTGTCAATAATCCTTTTGCAGGCACGCGGGGAAGAAGAAAAAATTTAGATGTTGATGACATGGAGGTAATATGTTGCAAAGAATGTGTGTGCTGGGGAAAAGAGTACGAGACTGTTTATTGAAGATTCTTAAAAATTTAATCGATCGGAAGTTAGAGACGAGTTGATTGCTGAGATGGAACAACGTACTGGGAAGGTGGTGTCTATACTTACGCTATGGCGGTCGTTGAAGCATTATGGAATTACTCGGAAAAAGGTTGATTATTCAATGTATTAGTATGTATCTATTATTATGTTATTTGATAATTACTGACATCTCCCACAATCACAACAACCGTCACACCAGACACAGGTTTCTCAAACTCAAACTCAACATCAAGCTCAGCATTCACACCCCTCTACGGCACAAACATTGCCTTCTCATCTCCCACAATCCCAGCAACCTCCATCACAGATGTATAATCAATCTACAAAATATCCACAGATCATTTGCCCTACAATGCTAACGCCATGCCGTCAGCACCATCAAGTGCTTACAGTCAAGGACATCAGTATCCATCTGGGCAAGATTGAAAAGAAAAGCGATGTTCCAAAACCAGTGAGTGTGACTGAGAAAAACGACCAGAACCAGCGCGGCCCTGTTTACACTCCTGTTCTATTGCCACCAATGCAAGGACCATCGCCATTGCCGCACCATCCCAGTAGCGATGTTGGCGGTACAAGCATGAAATTGGTTAAATATCGCTGAACTGCATGGGTTGATCAAATCATTTGATTGGTTGATAGTTGTTTTCGTTTTCGTTTTCAAAAATTTTATTTGATGAAAAATTCGGGTGATCCTAATATTGCAGCTCCCTTTTCTTGTGCTACCCACTAGTTTGGATCAGTGTAACTAAGCTTACATTTACGCCAAGCAGTACACTATCGAGAAGAGTATGATATTACTATTTTCGTTACATATGCCGAAAATAAGCTCCCCCCGAAAATAAGCTCCCCCCCTAAAAAAAAATATTTTTTTTATCTCCGAAAATAAGCACCTCCCCAAAATTTTCGTGTATTAATTAATTAACACTGATTGTTCTAAATGTTTCTACATGCGCATGTGCGATTAACTCAAGTGTGTTAGTTGTTGGCCATGCTATTGTGTTTTTTACTAGTTAATGTTTTCTAACAGTAGTAAAGTATTGTCGTTCTCTATCCTGCAAAAATAGTTAATGCATACAAAATGATGCGCGATATGTTTAACTTAATTGTATTAGTATACATTATGGACGGTAGCTTTTAAAAAATTAAAGTTGGTTCCTGTTGCCTTGTTCGAGTATATTGTATGTCAGACTGGCACCATATATGTTTGTTCTATGAAATGCTCTAAAAATAGATTGTTTAATGATGTGTAAATTAATATTTATCGCTCCACGCAAAAATAGCACAACAGTTGATAAAAATAGCAAATTAATACGAAGGCAAATATTCTTGGCTCCACGGGACTTCTCCCTTTCTAGTATATTAAAACCGCATTTTCCATTCAGCAAGAGTCATCTTCTTCCATCGGAGATATTCAATACAGTTGACTCGAACCTGATCAACTCTTCAACGACCCAAGCTCTTACACACGGTTATTCCTTTGACACCTTAAACGAAACGAAACTATGAAGCAAAACGCCATTCGCACAATCTTCTTCCTTGTCTGCTGCCTTCTCGTTGTGTTGTCACCTTCGCACGCTGCTACGGTCAAACGCGCTATCGGTGATGTTGGATATGCCGTATTTACGGCGACAACCGCTCTTCCTGTATCTGGAACCGTCACATTTTACCAATTAACCGCAACAGACACTCTCATTTACGGTCAATTTAATACTGGAGTTACAAAGTTCCCCCCTTGCAAACTGATAGTTGAAACAGGAGGCGCCGGAACTGACTTGACGTCCAACATCGCCGGAACTACAAACCAAGCCTTTCAATTCACTCTTCCGAATAAGATTCTTCAAACTTTCAAGGACAAAAATCTCGATGTCATATGCGGTGCACTGGTTGGCAGTGCGCCCATCACAGTCATCCCATAGAGCTTTCAATTTTCTGAATAAAAATATTTTTTTTGTTCTTTGACGGTTTAAGCGTTGTACCTTTTATTAGTTTTCCTTTTTAGCGATAGGTCAGTGAATATATTTCAAACCCTATTTTGTAAGTTCGATTGTAAAATTATCCACTCCACCAATGAAAAAAATAATAATTTCATGTACTGTCTTTGTTGCGTTACATATAGTTGGTCTGCTGATCCATTTAACGCTGATCCATTTAACGCTGATCCATTTAACGCTAATGCTTAGAAAACTCGAATGGAAAATTGTGCAAGTTGCAGATTTATTAAAGTTACATGAACGAACAGGGACTGCAAAATCTTACTAGTGTGCTAGTTGTTGACCATGCCATTCTCGAAACAGAGGGTAAAAGTGACATGTTTTTTACTAATTAACGTTTCTAACAATAGTAGTATTGTCATTTTAACGTTAGCTGGTGCGATGAACATGCATGTATAAGAGTTGCAAATGATGACGCAATCTAATTGCATTATGGTCGAGTTATTGTGGCACCATATATGTTTGTTCTATGAAATTCTCTAAAAATAAATAGTTTAATTACAATAATGTGTCTATATAGATGCGCGAATTATCATAGTTATCACTCCACGCAAAAATAGCACAATGACCGAGTATTTTTATTCTAAAACCACAACAGTTGATAAAAATAGCAAATTGATGCAAATAGATTCGAAGGCAAATATTCTTGGCACTCCTCCCTTTCTAGTGTATTAAAGGCCTGCATTTTACATTCAGCAAGAGTCATCTTCTTCCATCAGAGATATTTAATACAGTTGACTCGAACCTGATCAACTCTTCAACGACCCAAGCTCTGACAAACAAAGTACACAGTTAATCCTTAAACAAAACGAAACGATGAAGCAAAACGCCATTCACACAATCTTCTTCCTTGTCTGCTGTCTTCTCGTTGTGTTGTCCCCTTCACTCGCTGCTACGGTCAAACGCGCTAACGGTGATGTTGGATATTAATATGCCGTATTTAGACCGTCTGCCGCTCGTCCTGCATCTGGAACCGTCACATTTTACCAATTTAACACAGACGTTATCATTTACGGACAATTTAATACTGGAGTTACAAGTCCCCCCCCCCCCTGCAAACTGATAGTTAAAACAGGAGGCGCCGGAATTGACTTGACGCCCATCATCCCCGTCGGGACTAAAACCAACCCTTTCAACTCACTTTGAAGGTCGGAAGGACTGATTTTGTTCGATCTTTGAAGAACAAACATATGCGGCACAAAACTGGTTGGCAGGGCACGCATCAAAGTCATCTAGAGGCTTCAATACTTTTATTATATTTCCTTTTTAGCGATAGGTTGATGAATATATTTCAAACTGTTGTAACTTATGTAATAGTGTGATTTTTTGTTCCATTATTATAATGTTGCAACCATATCTAATATATTGTAATAATGACTCTATCGAGTCAACAGAATATTGTCGGATAATAAATCACAATGCTTTACAAATTCGAAGGCTTATTGAAATGACTATAGAAATGACGTATATTTAGCAATCTAATATGCATGTTTTGTTGATAATTTTAAAAACATTATTGCGTCTTTATGTCCGTCATTCTCAGCAAAGCGTATGTTCTCTAACAATTACGTGGTATACGCGGAGAAACAACAAAAATTCACTTTGGAGTTACTCTTCTGTAACGTCGCGCGATATGTTTAGTATTGACACCTCAGTGCATATCATTTTTGACACTATCACATGCTAAACTTTAATCAGATATTATTCTTACGGTTGACATCATATCGATCTCTGCTACTGCCGGTAAAACTAACTCATCAATCGTTAAGCTGCACTGTAGTGTGCAGTGTCACTTAAAATTGTTGTCGTTTGCAATAATCAAATGAGGTAAAATTACGTATATAAGGAATAAGACCGTAGTATTTATTTTTTTCAGTCATCTGAAGGTTCGATATTACCAGTTACACCAAAATAATTACGAATCGCTGGCCATTTATCATAAAGAAATTCTTTATATTTGTTACACGTACGGTTGAATACTATGACAAAGAAAGAACGTACAGTGCCATGACAACTCCATAATGCACGGCCCAAGAAATTGGTGGACGGTATCGCCCATACTAACTAGTATGCAAATTATCTTATTGTCTGGTTTGATATGCTAACAAAAATCATACGACTATTAGTTAATATTTGTATCGAAGGCAAATGGCCGTTGAAACAAGTATATATTCATAGGGTAAATTGTTACTATTTCACATCCACGCGTTTATTTACAACAATACGGTAACATCCTAGGCTCGTATTACTTTGATCCAGTTCTTCAGCAAAGTCAATTAACAATTGCGCATATTCATTTTCGGTAAGTTCAAGAAGAGGCATGAGAACGGTCTTAGTCGCTTCCTCGTAAGATCTTATGTGATATTTCAGTAACTAGGAAAAACAAGACATCAATCACTGAATCATTTTACTAGGCAGCGTAGGATATGTAATACTTACCAATTTACCCAGACTTCCTGCCCAACGTCCACATTTAATTTGTTTTTTTTCTTTTGGTGCAACGGCTACTACATCCTTAAATTTACTAAACTCCTCCAAAACACCTTTACTGGATAGAGGATTGATTCCAGCATTGGATAATAAGATTTAACCCGTTAGTGGTTAAACTATATTATGCAAATTTCAACTTTCTTTCTTTCTTTCTTTCTCCGCAACATCAACCATCATAATGCAATATACGATCACTATTATATTATTCTTTTATCATATCATCTTATAATTACTTTACAAAAGACTATATTTTATCAAGTCTGAATAAACCCATTCACAACTCGATAGATTGTAATCACATATACTGTATAATATACACGTACATATTACAATTATTGGCGAAATAATAGAAACCTAACTTCCAATAAAATTCAATATGCGCTTACACAGCTAACTCCTTTCAAGCAAACTTTACCTGATTTAGAAAGTCGTCCAACCTATACCATTTCAATTTATTTATCTATCGATATTAATATTAATATTAATATTAACCAAACTTACAGTATATTGTACGACAAATATGATTAAGGTATTTCTATTTTCTCTCTTTTGTTTCGGTAGCTTATATGATTCTTAAAGACCAGTTTATATTCAAATATTATATTACTTCCGTTTCTACAATAAATATTAATGACTTTATACTATTTTTCGCTATCCTTTAAAGATCAATTCATATCGTACATCTATTCTAAATTACAGCTTTAGAATAAAAGTATCCTCAACATTTCTTTTCCGTTAACAGTTTTTCAATAATATTACGGAACTGATAATAATGCAAGATAAGAATATACATACTAGAAATTTTGTTTAGTGAATACCAATACGTCTCCAGAAGCCAATCAACTATAAAAACAGCAGACTTCGAAATAATGATCCGTCATCATGTCAACAGAAAATACCTTTACAACCGAACAACGAAAGCAAAACTGGGTTCAAAAGATTCCCTTATAGGAGAATTAGATATCCACGAAGATAAATTGTGTCTCGAACTTCACAATTTTGATTTTATATCCACGAACACCACTCAATATACATCCTCCATGCCCACCTCCTCATCCACATATTCTGCCTCTGAGAAGAGAAGTCTTCTATATGAATCTTTAACTACCACTACCAAGCGACAAAAAACCTCTTCCATACCCTCCCCCACGAAAATAAAAATTAAATCCGAAAAAGATTTATATCAACGGAAAAATTCACACCCAACGAAGACAATCTAGTAGTAGTAGTAGTAGACAATCCACTTGCGACAAAGAAAAAAAAACCAGCTAAAAGAGAGCTACGCTCATCTACAAAAGTAAAAAAGCTTTTCGATTTAGCGTCTACCAAACTGATGTTACCTACAGTGCGCGAAAAAAGTAATGAGAATAAAATGTATCATAATAAATTTCGATTTTCTTTGTCATATTCAACCAGTTAAAAAAAAGCTGTATAAGTATAACACGTGTTAACAAAACCTGTTAGATAGCGCGACTGCATTTTGTTTTGATTTTTGTTACACGTTTATTGACTTTACATTCAACACACAATGACCAAAACCTCGCTTAATCAACGTTATATGACAATAACCTCTTTGTGGGGGGGGGGGGGGGGGGGCACGCGTGATGCTGACACGTTGCACAAATTAACTTCTATTCCACTTTCTACTGTATACAAATATGGGACTAGACTGACAAAATCGCGGTACTTGTCCTGGTTACACAAAATGGGATTTTTGCATAGGCATCATTAGTAAAATCATTCGCTACAGCAAGTTTAAAGTTAAATAATATAGGGCCACTCCATGCAGATCTGGCCCCAGATTTTGAAATCTGTCCCCCAAATTTACGCAGATCATTATTAAATGACTTCTTTCACTTATCGTTATTATCACACATACAGTAGTTCCGGTCTTCTAATAACTGACAATGTTACCGATTCCGTTACTCCCACCTCCACAGAGTGGTTGCATAAAGCATCTGTACAGTACATTTACTTAAACCTAGTAATAGGTTTGATCCTTTTGCACCTGTTCCTATACTAAATGCTCAGCCAGTCCCTTACAGTAGACAGAAGTACATATATGATGAAGTTCGAAGGACCCATATAAAGATATAACTTGTCCAATACACACATGAAGTTAAATAAAAGATATCATCGCTCATTGGTAGATGGAAATTTGGGGTCTATATTGAGAGGGACCATCACTGTTAAAAAAGATCCCCAAATCTTTGTGATCAATTTTCTCATGATCGCCCATCATGTAAGTACCGCGATTTTGTCAGTCCAGTCCCCATATATCAAAAAACTTAAAAATAATATTTCTTTAAACCCTCTGCCCCGATCTGACAGGCCATAAAAGTTTTCCCCTAAACAGCGTCGACATCTTGGCCAGCTTGTCTCAGCAAACAAATACTCTACGAGCACTGAACTCTCGAATACTTTAAATGATCATCATCC